AAACCTTAACAAATAAAATAGCAGGAGACCCCATGAGAAACTACAAGAACTTACGCTTTTACGCTCTTGTTGTTCCTCTCTGAAAGATGAAATTTTGGATTCTGTTAAAACAGAAATATCAACAGCTATGTCTAGATCTTCTCCTCATTCTGTTTAATGTGGGAACGTTAAGTGCATTGCCACCCGATGGCTGTGAGCTCACGACCTCTGGCTTTTGTGACAGCTAATATGTCCCGCCTTAAACCATAATACTGCAACGTGATTGGCCAACCCCTTTTGGCTTGGATTCAAATGATTTCAGCTGCAGTACAAGATGTGTAATTGTGTGTTTGTGAACCACAAACACCATGAAAATTCAGCTTGCATGTAAGGTTTGCAGTCACACTGTGGGATATGCCTCCTCTGTCTTTATGTTTTATTGATTCATTTAAAAGGAAGTTAAGGATGTTTTCTGCTATAGCTTGATAGTTTTATATGAAATATTTGTATTATGTATGTTCTCTCTAAATCTTTTAGTTTTTGTTTTTTTATTTCAATTCATTGTTTGATCTTTTTCTATTTTTTTTGTAAAGATGTTTATTTATGAGAGGTGCTCCTTTATTAATTACTCACTGTCTATAGTGAAGTAAAAAACCATTTTACTCTGACAGATGTTTTGTTTTTGCTTCTTTTGTTAAACTTAATATTTCAGGTAATCAAATAGGTTTTATTATAATTTCCAGATGATGAAGAAACCAAAAACGAAGTTATGAACTTTCATAAAAAGAAAATAACCTCATAAACTCAATTAAAAATGAGCCGATCTATCTTTTATTGGCCTTGACCAATAATAGATTTTTGCACTTGCACGTCTTCCGATGCAGTGGATGTTAATTACAGGGTTTCGCAAAATCAAAAATGCCAGAATCAAACTATTCAGGCAAAAAATATTAAATATTGTGACATATTCTGACATAAATTCTGACATATACAGGTCCTTCTCAAAATATTATCATATTGTGATAAAGTTCCATAATGTAATGATAAAACTTAAAAATTCATATATTTTAGATTCATGGCACACTAACTGAAGTATTTCGGGTCTTTTTTTTTTTTCTTTTTTTTTTTTCTTAATACGGATGATTTTGGCATACAGCTCATGAAAACCCAAAATTCCTATCTCACAAAATTAGCATCTCGTAAAAAAGGTCTCTAAACGAGTTATGCACCTAATCATCTGAATCAAAAAAATTAACTCTAAACACCTGCAAAAACTCCCAGCCTGGTTAATCACTCAAAACCCCAATCATGGGTAAGACTGAAGACCTGACGACTGTCCAGAAGGCCAGCATTGACACCGTCAAGCAAGAGGGTATGACACAGAAAGATATTTCTGAACGAATAGGCTGTTCCCAGAGTGCTGTATCAAGGCACCTCAGTGGGAAGTCTGTGGGAAGGAAAAACTGTTGCAGAAAATGCTGCACTATGAGAATAGGTGACCGAACCCTGAGGAAGATTGTGGAGAAGGGCAGGTTCCAGACCTTGGGGGACCTGCGGAGGTAGTGGACTGAGTCTGGAGTAGAAACATCCTGAGCCACCGTGCACAGGCATGTGCAGGAAATGGGCTACAGGTGCCGCATTCCCCAGGTCAAGCCACTTTTGAACCAGAAACTGTGGCAGAGGCGCCTGATCTGGTCTACAGAGAATCACGTCACTTGGAAATCAAGGTGCCAGAGTCTGGAGGAAGACTGGGAAGAAGGAAATGCCAGAAGTCCAGTGTCAAGTACTAAGGCCTAAAACCTAATGGGAATTATTATGCAAATAATGTGGAAATAAAATGCAAATAGTTTAAATTTCAACTTTAACTTTTAAATTTTAAAATCAGTTACATAGCATCTTGCCACTAAAAGTGGTATGATATTGACAACCAAACATATATCTTAATCATTAGTTAAAACACAAGAAAATATTAAATGGGCTAATGGGAAATTCAGAGATGATGATAATTGAGAACATAAACAAGAATGTCCTTCGTTTTATGCCCTACCTTAGCAATGCTGAGGTTTTGGGTAGGCTAGGTAATGTGTGGAGTTATATCTTAAAGGTAATGTGGAAGATTTTCGCGAGTTGTTGAAAAGACCTGCGACCCCCGCTTTAAAAAAATATGCACATACACAACCGTCTTCGCTTCCAAGAGGGAACGTCTATTAAACGCATGCGAGAGCATGCACAAGCCCATTTCTCCCCATGCATGCTGAGTATAAAAGTTACTGCTGTCAAAGCTCGTACAAGCTTACTGTGCCTGAATGTCCACCCTAACCCCTAAATCCCTGAATCACTATATAGAGCGGGGAGTTTATAGTGGACTTTATACTGAACTCAGTTAACTTACCGTTCGGACAGCTGATCACTACTTTTTGTTCCCCGTTCGTCAAGTAACTCCTCCTCCTCCGTAGCGACATTGGGCTGCTGTGACCGAAAATCCCGTAATGCTTTGCGAGGAACGTTCCGGTGTTCTGT